ACCTTACAAAAGGAAGGCAAATCTCTCCGTTCACAATTCTTTCTCTAATAAAGTGTCTATCCACCTCAATATGCTTTGTATAATCATGTTGGATAGGATTGTGAGCAATATTTATGGCTGCTTGATTGTCACAATATAGTCTCATTGGAACATCTGCTTGGATGCCCATCTCAGTCAATAAGGTCTTCAACCAGAATAGTTTAGACACTCCATGAGCCATTGCCCTTTACTCTGCCTCAGCACTAGAACGAGCAACCACAGATTGTTTCTTACTTCTTCAGGAAACCACATTGCCTCCAACTAAGGCACAATAACCGGATGTAGATCTTCTATCATCGATGGACCCTGCCCAATCAACATCTATGTAAGTCTCGATCTTTAGATGGTCGTGGTTGGAATACAACATCCCTTTGCCAGGGCATCCTTTTAGGTAGGCTAAAATTTTGTTAACTGCCTGCATATGAGATGTCATGGGTTCATGCATATATTGTCTAACCACTCCAATAGCATAGAAAATGTCAGGTCTAGTCAAACAAAGATACAAAAGGCATCCCACCAATCTCTGATATACCCCCCTTTCTGGAAGAACTTCTCCTTCAGTAGAGTTCAACTTGTGGTTGGGATCAATTGGAGTTTCTACAGGCTTACACCTTAATTTCCCAACCTCATGAAGCAAATCAAGTACATATTTCCTTTGTGACAAAAGAATCACCTTCTTGGATCTTGCAACTTCAATGCCAAGAAAGTATCAGAGATCACCAAGGTCCTTAATATCAAATTCAGAAGCAAGGAATGACTTTAACTAAGAGATACCTGTGATATCATCACCTGTCACAACAATGTCATCAACATATACTATCAACATTGCTACTCTACCATAAACTCTTCTAATAAATAAGGTGTGGTCAGCATGAGATTGAGAAAAATAAATCTTTAAGATGGCACTCCTGAACCTGTCAAACCATGCTCTTGGAAACTGTTTTAGCCCATACAAAGACTTCTTCAAGTAGCACACTTTTCTATCACTATTAGGGAAACTTACCCCAGGTGGTAAGTCCATATACACTTCCTCTTGTAAGTCCCCATTAAGGAAGGTGTTCTTTACATCCATTTGATATAAAGGCCACGAGTAATGGGCGGCAAGAGACATGATCACATGAATAGGGTTCATTTTAGCAATTGGAGCCAGGGTTTCCAGATAATCAATGCCATAAGTTTGAGTGTATCCTTTGGTTATAAGCCGAGCTTTGTATCTTTCAATTGAGCCATCTATCTACCTTGTGCTTAATAGTATAAACCCACTTACACCTAACAGGAATCTTATCTTTAGGGCAAGGAACAACCTCCCAAGTCTGGTTCTTTATTAGGGCCTCCATTTCTTGGTTCATAGCTTCCTTCCAATTAGGGCACTGCATTGCCTCTGTAGCACTACGAGGGATGGAAACAGAAGAAATAGCAGAAATATAGGCACAATAGGAAGGGGAGAGAGCATCATAAGACACATAGTTAGTGATAGGATACTTGCTACATGTCCTCTTCCCTTTTCAAATGGCAATAGGAAGATCAAGGTCAGAATCAATAATAGGATTGTCAGGAGGTTCAAGTTTACTTGAGTCTGGGGATTCAGATTGTGATGGGCATTCTGCTTCAGGAGCCACCCTCTTATTGTGCCTGATGAAAAACTGCTACCAGGACCGAGGTCGATACATAGGAGGAGGAGGAGAAGGAATAGAGGTAGGAAGAGAGGGAGGAATAGAGGTAGGAATAGGAAGGCAGAAGGGAGTCCGATCTTCACTTGCATTCTCCCCCTGAAAGAAGGACGGGATGACTGGAAAAAGGAAGAGGATTCTAAAAAGGTAACATCCTTAGAGACATATCTCTTTCCAGAGAGAGCATTAAAGCATCTATAGCCTTTTTGGACAGGAGAGTAACCAAGGAATACACACTTAACGGATTTAGGGTCAAACTTGCGCCGGGAAGGACTCATATCATGAACAAAGCAAACACAACCAAAGACCTTAAGGGGTAGATTAAAAGGAGGTTCATCAGAGAAGAGTAGTTGATGAGGAGAATGAAGGTTAAGGACCCTTGATGGGAGTCTGTTAATGAAATGTACAGCTGTCTCAATAGCATCACCCCAGAAACGAGTTGGAACAATAAGCCTCGAGCAACTCCAACCACATGCCTGTTTTTTCTTTCAGCCACCCCATTTTGTTGTGGAGTATGACTACATGAACTTTGGTGAATAGTGCCCCTGTCTTCAAGAAACCTATGCAAGTGATGTTCAAAGTATTCCTTGGCATTGTCAGATCTTATTATCTTAATTCTTTTCTCAAACTGTCTCGATCATATTCATGAAGTTTTGAACAATCATAGGAACTTCATCTCTACTTTTCATCAAATAAAGCCATGTATACTGACTGTAGTCATCAACGAAGAGAAATGAAATATCTGTACCCCCCATACAGGGAACAACATATGGGCCCCAAACATCAGTATGGATCAAATGGAAGGCAACATTACTTCTTTTACTGTTTGCAAAATGTGTTTCTACATTGTTTGGATAAATGACAAACTTTACATTCAAAATTCGATTTGGACACAGAATCAAACAAGTTTGGAAATAAAAAATTGACAGAATTGACAGACATATGACCAAGGCGACAATGCCATAATTTCAAAAACTCATTTTCTCATTAGAACAAGACTCAATCTGGCTTGACAATCCATGCTCTGAAGGTCCATCCAGGAGGTAGACTCCATCTACTTCATGCCCACTTCCAATCGTCTTCCTCGTGCTCCGGTCCTGAAAAACACAATGGGTGGGAAAAAGGTCACTGAGCAATTGTGGGATTTTGTTAGAGAACTAATAGACAATAAATTTTTTTTTGTAGCTGGGGCACATGTAGAACAGAGTCAAGAGAAAGGTTATTAGTGATTCTGACTTCACCTTGACCCGAGATTGGGGTCTGAGATCCATATACAACAGTAATCTTTCCCTTCCCCGGGGTTAACTTATATGAGGTAAAATGTGAAGGCATACTAGTCATATGGGCACTGGCCCCAGAGTCTACAATCCATGGGCTAAAGGAGGTGGAACAAGCAAGTGCAGTACCTGTCTTGGCATATGAACTAGATAGATTCCTAAGTCCAGAACCAGATGATGAGGATGTACAACCCTTCTCTAGCTGCAACAATATATTCCTGAGTTTGTCCCTCACATCAGCGGAGTCGAGCACATCCAAGGGCTGAGCATCATTACCAACTGTAGCCAAGTGAGCATTGCCCTTCTTCCCGGTTTTGTACTTCTCCGGTTTTAGATGAGGATTGAGCTTCCAACACCTTTCTTTAGTGTGTCTTGGCTTCTTGCAGTACTCACAAATAACATCCTCGACATTCTTTGCAATGGGATGTTTGCTAGTATTTTGCTTGGGTTGAGATGACATAAAGGCAGAATGATCACTCATAGAGGATTGCATCATGGCGGTTCTTCGGCTTTCTTCCCCTTGTACAAGAATGTGTTGTTTGGTGAAATCAAACTCTAGGTTTAAGCCAACCAAAAAATCAAAGACTCTATTCTCCTCTATGTACTTCCGATACTGCTCACCATCTTCAGGGTCCTTCCAAACTAGAGCTTTCAAGTGATCCATTTCTTCCCAGATAAACTGTAGAGAAGAGAAATACATAGCAACGGATCTCTCCCCCTGATGCATACTGCAAGCTTCCCTCCGAAGCTGATACACTCTAGCAGTATTGTTAACTTGGGAATAAGTAGCAACTACCCTATCCTAGATATCCTTGGCAGATGGAAGAAACATGTAATTTCGGGCAATTTGAGGTTGCATTGAGCAAATCAGCCATGACATAACAAGGGAGTTGCCTGTTCCCACCTTGCAAATTTTGGGTCTTCAGGACTTGACTTCACTTTCCTTCCTATGATGAATCCCAGTTTACCCCTCCCAGTAATGGTAAGTTTAGCAGACTGAGACCACTCTAAAAAATTAGTTCCATCCAGTTTAATAGTAGTTATCATACCACTGGAAATATCTACAGTTCCCGGGAGCACACCGGGAACCATCTGAAAATCCTTAGATGATTCCATATTCTAACAAGACACCTTTTCACCAACCAAAAAGGACCCCCCAACACTTCAATCGAGGTTCCAGACCCAAAAACAAGTTACCCCATAGTTAAGAACCAAAGGAAGACCCAAAAAACTAGGTTGGCGGCAAAATAGAGGGAGAAAAAAAAATCTCCCAAAAATCACACAGTGCTCAGAAAATTACGGGACCACTTCCCGTCAATCCCAAATTGAAAAACGACCTGAATGGTCTAGGTTTTACAGCAGAAAAAAATCACTAAACCTGCTGTACATGGCTCAACATCAAATCTGGAATTTCTGCGATTTTTTCCTTGAAAAGTCCACCAAAAATCATAGAAGTTTCATATAACGACAAGAGTCATACCAAAATTTATCTAAAATCAGGGTGAATCTAACTATTCTGGTTTTATGCCTACACCTGTACGGACTGCTGACATCATCCGGTGGTGGTCTGACGTCAGCAGTTCGCCTCTGGGTAGGAGATCAGCAGAAAACTAACTCCCAGATGCTTCTACCCGCTCTGATACCAAGTTGCAGAAACTAGGGTTTCAAGAGAGAGAAAGAAAGAAGAGAAGAAAAGAAGAAGAAGAGGAAGAAGAAAGCAATGTGTCGAGAGGTGTGTGAAGTTCACTGTTCACACCCTCAAAAGTTCACTTTATAATTGAAAATTTATAATTACAAGAAGGCCCCTATCTGGGTGCCCAAATACAGAGAGAGTATAAGAAAGGAGAAAATGACCAAAAACACCCCTGTCTAACCATTCTCAACATCTACTTACAAAATTTTATTGAAAAATTCCATCTCTAGATCTATGTTCTTCAATTTGAAGTTTTATAGTTGTAGGACAAATTTGCATTGCTTTCAATTAAGCCCTGAGGCCCTTCATAATCTAACCCCTCTATACCTTTAGTTCTGAAATCATATATAAACACTATTCTAGCTAATCAATACCTTCCTAGACTCAATCCTGGGTCATAGTCATCCTACATTAGTTTGGTTTGGTATTAGAACAGTCAGTCCTATACATCATTTGGCATTAGAGCAAGTGATTGCACACCAATTTGTATTGGAGCAGTCAACCCTACATAAATTTGGTGTCAAATCAAGCTGTCCTACATCAGTTGGTATCATAGCAGGTTATTTTATATTCTAAGCTCAGCTTATTCACAGCCCTTTCTTAAGGTTCATACCCATCATGCTTGCAGAAAAAATTCTTGCTGATAACTAAAGTCTATGTCTGGTTAATCTTTTGTAGAAAGATCAACATATCTGTTACCCCATTGGCTATTTAGCATATTCTTGTAGATTGCTACAAATAATATATACTCTATTTTGTCAATGCTGGCGGATTTTGTTCCCTAAAGCTATGAAGAATTATAATTTGAAATCTGATGCATTGTGCCAAAAATTACAGTATTTTTTATGCAATCATCAGGTTCTCTCATCAAGGAATGTTCAGCTTTTCCTGGGTTATTTTGTAAACTGCATAAAAAAATGTGGTGAGGTTGAGGTTTCAGACAATGTGACAAAAACATTAGAGGGTAGGGATACTGCAAGACAACATGATCATGATAAACTTATTCTGGAACTTCAACCTGCTCAAAGAGGCTTAAAAAGTCAGATTCTGGAAGCAGATTTGGTACTATGGACAGTAGGTAATAAACCTCTAGTGCCTCCACTTGAATACTATGATCAGCCACTAGCATTTCCTATTAATGGTAGGGGCCAAGCAGAAACAGATGAAACTCTCCGTGTCAAAGGCCATCCACGCATATTTGCTGTGGGTGACTCTGCTGCTGTAAGGGACTCTTCTGGAAAGCTTCTTCCAGCCACTGCACAGGTAATCTCTATCTTCTCTCATTTTTTTGAATGAGTTAGATATCTTATTCCTATAGAGAATATTTTCTATCTTCCTACTGAGCTTTTACACAACTACTACTGTTTATTTATTTGTGCTAAGTTGCTTCTCCATGCTTCCCAGGTTGCTTTTCAGCAAGCAGATTATGCTGGCTGGAACATTTGGGCAGCAATCAATAACCGGCCTTTGTTACCGTTTAGGTTTGTATTTTAAGTTTTTAACTACGTTCTGTCAATAATATGTTTAGCATGTTTTTCAATATTAGCATTATCAGCAAAAGGGATATGGTCTTATGCAAAAGCATTCCCCCACTGCGGTGTGGGTTAGGGTGTAATGCCAGGATCTTTGAGAACAATGCTCCCTGAAGGTGGAGATGGTTTTTGAGAAAAGTAAGGGGTTGCCCTCCTCCTGGATTGCCATGTAGAAGGACTTCAGGGATGTTAGATATATAGATATTCTGATTTAGTTCTTTTTGAACACTTGTATTTGTATAGCTCATATGGCATACTTTTGGATGCGGTGCCCCTTGTATGACATCTCATCATCTTTTGGGGGTGTCTTCTATACCTCTTATGGTTAATACAATTTACAGTTACCTTCTTAAACAAAAGATTCAGTGTTGGCCCACTTTTGGGGGTGTCCTAAACCATGTGACTTTGCTACTTTCTTAGAAATGCAAAGTAAATTTTCTTGAAGCCAATACTTTCCTGTTGATTTATAAAAAAAGAAAAAAGTAACTTGCACCCAATCCAAAAATGAAATCATAAGTTCCTACTTCAAATGAAAAAAAAAAAACGAAAGCAAATCCACATTCCTGGAAGTCCATGAGCAGGTAATTTGGAGGCTAAAGGGTAGGCCTAAATTAGAAAGCCACAAGATCCCATTAGGAGACACAAGTCTCTTCCTACACTGACAAGGACATGTGATCTCAGATTCAGGTTCTACTTTTGGAAGTTATGACAAAATTTGTTTCCGGTGGGAATGTCATTTTTGTAGTACTTACAAAATAGAAGTAACATTTAATGCTGTCCCCTCACTAATGGGAAACATGTGGGGAATGATGATAAATATTCAGGAAAAAGAAGAAGTGTTCGAGTTGATTTGACATTTGGGTTTCCTTTTGCTCAATTTCTGTTCTTGTTGTCATTTCTTGTATCTTCGATGCTAATGCACAAGGTAAAATTTAAATTGTCCCTAGCTTTTGCTCCTTGAATGGTTTCCCTCACCCTTTGCCTTCTCTGGCAAGTTGGTGTAAATCATTGAAATAAAATTCTCTTTTTCCAATTTAAGCATCATAATATGAAATACTTGTCATGAGATGGCCAATTCTTTGGTTAATGGTGGCTGCTGAAACATTAATATCAGTGTGGCCCAAAGTTTGAGCAATATTGAATGTTTATTATTATTTGCCATGATTTCATGTCAGATACCTGTCTTCCACTTGCCAGTTTTATGGATTTCTCTTAAATTTTGAATGCTAGTTTCCTCCTTCACACTTATGGAAGGACACGGAGCTACCATAAAGGCAGCCCTCACTTGAAAACCTGTATATCTACATCTCTGTACATGATTTTGATTGCTAGGTCAGTTTATGAGCCTAGGTTCCAGAATTGGCTGAATTGTTTTTTTTTTTTGATAAATAAATTGGCTGAATTGTTATAGGGCACAGGATATGGCATATCAATGATCTTGTGATACTTCAATCTTTAGATTCCCTTACTCTACACCATGCCCATATTGGTATTCAAGGAGGTTTATGTTCTAGGCAATATAGGTAAATAACCTATTAACCTTGGTAGCTTAATGACTACTACATCTGATAACAGTAGTCTGGAACAAATCTAAAACAAGGGGCTACATGGATGTGGTATATGATCTGTTTTTTTTTTGTTACAAATGGGAAATTGGCTACACGAGACGGGGAGGCATCCAGTTAAATACCTGGAGGCATTTTAGCTTTCATCCTTGTCCAGAGGAAGCTTACATGCAACATGATTTCTCACTTAAGATGCTAGTCTTTTGGTGCTAAGCAATACTGGGCAACTGTTCCATTCAATAAATAGTGCTTATTGGTTAACACTATAAAAACAATGGTATCTGACATGTTCAATTTGATTGCCAGATTTCAGAATCTGGGAGAAATGATGACCCTGGGAAGGAATGATGCAGCACTTTCTCCGAGCTTTATTGAGGGGCTAACATTAGAGGGACCCATTGGCCATACAGGTAAGCTTCCATGTCTTACATGAACTTGTGCCATTCTAGTCACCTGAACTAACCATACTTCTATTCCCATTGCAGCGAGGAAGATAGCATACCTGATCAGGTTACCAACAGATGAACATCGGGTTAAAGTGGGAATAAGTTGGCTTGCAAAGTCCGCTATAGATTCTGTTGCATTGTTGCAGAGCTCACTAACCAAAGTCCTTTCAGGCTCTTAGATACATCCTTATTCACTTGATGAGGAACTAGTAGCTGTCTATTTCTCTGCTTACACTATTTGTTCACTGTCAAGGTTGTTGATTGAATGGAATGGAAAAATGGGATTCTTGTGGCTGATGCAAATAGTTGGGTAAAGACTGCTGATTGGAGTGGAGTTGTATTTATCCCTTAATATTCGATTCTAAAATTCAGTTCACTGTAAGATATGCTTTCTATCAATGTGAGAAGATACATGTAAATGGCCAATTTTTCCCCATTGTCTCAAACTCTCGTTACCTAAACGAGCACCATATAAATGGAATGGCTTTCCCTCGTTAATTTAAGAACGTTGGGTTGAGAATTTTACTTTGCAGATTGGTAGGATGTATCGAGACTCCATTGGTTGATGCCAGTTTGAATTCCCATTTGATGAGCTTTATGCAGACTTCATCATCTTCATCATCGCTATCTAAGCCTTATCCCAATTATATGGGATTGGCTACATTAATCCTATTTTGCTATTTGGTTCTATTTAGTACTATATCATCATCATCATCATCTAAGCCTTGTGCCATCTACATGGGGTTGACTACTTGATCCTGTTTCAGAGATCAGATCTCCTCACAGAGCACGCCTCACACTGATGCATCTGGAACATCTTCCCATGAATTAAAAATTTACAAATACGAGATGTTCCAGGTGCACGGATGATATGCGCTGTGAAGCTGGTGTGAGGCATGCACTGAGGAGCAGATCTGAACTCCCTGTAATGCTATGGATAAGCTACAAAGATTGACGGGTGCTAACTTAATGGACCCCAGGCCCATAAACCATAACCCCACCATGGCACCATGTATAGGGGTGTCAATTGGACCGGATTTGGTCCAATCTGATCCAGTCCAATATGAGCCTATTACAAATGGACCAGTTCCATTACAATCCGATGAATACTCTGCATCACCCAATCTGTTAAAATTGATTTTAATTTAGATTGGTTTCAACCCAAATGTGATCAATTGATAACTGTATTCTTATCTTTTATTGATAGACCGGATATTGTTCAAATCCGACCCAATTCAATATAAATCTATTACAAATGGACCAATCCAATCCAATCTGATTAATACTTTGACCATTAATTCTGTACCGTTCCAATTTAATAAATTGATTTTGATTTGGATGGAATCCAACCCAAAATCAGTCCATTGATACTCTAAGGTCCTAATAATGTAGCCGTTCAACCTTACAGCTATAGTTTTGGCAAGAAGCGAGTTGGGTTCTATTGTTCTAAACAAACCGGGAAGTTTCAGGCAGCCAATTGTTCGCTGATTTCTCAACGACCGCTGTATTACATTGTCGTGAGCAACTTCCCTTTCGAGACGCTCTTTCTTTTGTTGGGATTCTGAATGGATTGCCTTGGCAGAGCCGTTTATGAACATTCATTCAAGTCAAAACAAAGCTACCAAATCCAAAAGAAGACAGCTCATGGCTTATAGGGTATTAGGGTTGAGTGACAGAGTGAGTGGGCTTCTCAGTCTTTGCAGCTTTTCTATAACCTATTTCTTCTCTTCAGAATTCAGTGTGGAAGAAAAAACAACTTATGAATTAAAAAAATGCTCAGAAGGGATACAAACCCACCATCTTACAGAATTACAGTAAACATCTGGGACCCTGTGACATTGTTGAGGTGGGTCCCTTGTCCATGGGTCCTACTTCTATGCACAGAATGTTTCAGAGCCCAAGTGGCCTGTCTGGTGGCATGGTGGATTGATTGGCTTCTTCATCCCCACCATCTTCCTGGAAAGTGATGCTCACCATAACCGAAACTTCTGCACCACCTCTGCAGCATAAAGTTTTTTCCTGGTTCCAATGGAAGGAAGAAGAATGCAGTAGATAGAAGATTGAGAAGGAAGAAATGGAGGATACAAACTGGGAGATCCAGGTCTTTCTGAAGAGCTATTCTCTGAGATGCTTATTAGACTTTCACCAGACTGGTTCAGCAGGGCCAGGATTGTATGTAAAGTATGGCCTAACTTGGTCCCACTGAAGTTCAAAGCCGGGCTTTAAGAATTCTTAAGACATATGAGCTTGTGCTTAATAAACAATTACTGGTGGTGGAAGGAGAGATAAAAAGGGCAGCCAAGTGCACAGAGTCTCTGGCCAATGTGGGGTTTGGGGAGAGACAGATGTATGCAGCAGTCGGTCAGCGGTATCTTTGTACATATAGAAAGGCTGTTTCTAAGATTCACCCAGATAGTAATGGAAGAAAAGAACAGATCAATGTCTCCAAATTAGCTTTGCCATGCAAAGTGATGATAAGCTTCAACCTTTGAGTTTTGGTTTTTTAGTAAATGAAAATGTGACAAAAAGTGTTTTAAGTGAGTGATAAGCAATTCTTTTAGAAACATAATTAAGGTTAAAACACTTTTAAGCCCCAAAACACAGCCTAAGTGTGCATTTGAGAGGGTTGAAGCGCAGCAGCTTCTGACTTTTCGGAATCAACCCCACATGGACAATCTATTAATTATGTTTAGTGAAAAGAAAATCCAGAGAACCCAAATTGGCTGTCAGTCAGTCATTTGAAGGATTGTCTATTTCAGCCTCTTTGAATCAGTCATCTCAATGCTTCAAAGTAACTGAACCAGTTTAGCTGAATCTTCAGCTCAGCCCTCTCAAATGGCCCCTAACATTGGGGCTTTGTGCTGTGGGGATTTAAATTTGGATATTCTAACCCTTGTTCATGCAACCCATGTGATGATAAGCTAATTGTTAGTAAGACTCCATTTATCTGTACTTCAAGTTTCATTTGCGATTTTGCGTTGGTATAATTGCATTGAAGTGCAAATGGGCTGGGTGAAAATTCTGATTTACTTTTGTTTGGTTTGTTTATGAGGAATATAGTGGAAAGTAAAATGATGTCATCCCGTCTTATATGAGAGTGAATTTGGGAGGAAGATGATGCAAAATTTGCATCAATTTTTGGGATGCAAAATTCCTACTACCAAACTACCAGTTGGTGCAAGCAGTCATGCAATCCATGTGATGATAATTAATTCTAGGTAAGACTTCAATCGTTTGCGGTCGTGTTTGGTAACTTTTAATGGAAATAAAAATTGGCAAGAGTGTAAATTCTGGTTTATTTTCTTTCAGGTTAGACTTTGTCGTGTTTGGTTGTAAGTAGAATGGAAAATAAAAATTATATGGTCCCAGATTATATGAGAGACAATGGAGAAAGAAAATGGTGCGAAATTTGCATCGATTTTTTTGGTACAAAATCTGTACTGTTAACAAGACAAAAAGTACTAATATTGCATCAGGTGAGAATGTGAATCATGATTACAAGGGCAAGACATGAAACTGAAAGTACTTTACCCAAAGTTGCTTCTGGGTGAACTAATATTTAGCTATAGCCATTCAAAGTGGGAAAAAGAATATTACTAAATAAGGGGATGTTTGTGAATGTGCATTTTTGTTTTTTTTTTTTGAAATAAAAATAGGTTCCATAAAATAACAAGGATCAAAATTTTGGTACAGGCTAATACGTTCCAACCGATACATCAGACTGTATCGATATGCCCCAACCGGCACATCAGACTGTATCGAAATTTTGAACCTTGAATGTTGCAGATGCGGCAATTGTTCTCACTTTCAGAAACAAGATCATACACATTGCCAAACAACCCCCTAACAAATCTAAATAGTTTGGTTCCAACTTTCAGGAAGAAGGCTGTGTTGTGCTATGAAGAATACTAAGGTTTTATGTCTTTATATAATACATACAGCATACCTTGAGATTATCAAACCTACAAAAGAACTCATAAATGCTGATTGGGTTATGGTTAAACCTGTTCATGGGCCACAAAGGGCCAGGCCCATTCAAATTTTGGGAAAAGCTCAGTCTGAACCTGGCCCATGAACGGTCAATCCTTTTCTTTTCTGCCCGGCCGAATTCGAATAGTCGAATGTTCGGGTCGCCTCGAGTAGTACCACCCCTAACCGGTGAGAAGTTGGAAGCTACGTAAAGGACAAAAACGATTAAACAGCCGTCCCATCATCCATCGATAAGCTGCCCCTCCTCGACCCTTCTCATCCTCCTATTCTCATTCCTTGGCTTCACTTTGCCTCACTAAATTCCGTATTCAATCAAGGACCTTATTCCTCTGGTCCCCCTCTAATGATTTTTTTTTTTGTAAACCGGTTCAACAAGGGACGGACTATTTCGAGTCGGGGGCCACACGCGGCTGGCACTCTGGACCGGAATCCGAAATCCGGAGTCTCGACACTTTAAAGCCCCCAAAAACTTGCCAGGTGTCATGCATTCGATCAATCAATAGTCAAGTCACGTTCCCCCTTAAGAAAGCGCCTAAAAAACCCAATAATCACCACCTCACCTCAGTCCGGGCCATGTGGTCCCACCAGGCTTTTGATTTCGCACGCAAATTGAAACTGATGGCGCTGGACAACAATGAATGAAAATGGTAATACGCGCGTTCTTGCAATCTCTCGCTCCTCCTGCTCTTCTTCTCTCACAGACTCAACTCTCAAACTGACCAAGGGGTGACCGTCAATTACGGGCACTTCACTCCTCCCTCCTTTACACGCAACCCCTGAATGGCTGAATCACACATTTCCACCGTCAGATCAGCACCTAGCAACGTAATCAACTAATCACACCCTCATCATTCACCTGATGATGAACCCATCATGATGCCATTATCTCTCCCCCTTCCGAACCGTTGTCATTTCATCATGCATAGGCAGATTCCAATCTGACGTCGATAAAGTGCTCCTCATGTGAGGAGCAGAGAAGCAGTCCTGAGTCCCCCCTTTTTCCCCAAGTCAAACTCTTCTTTTGTTGTCGCATTGCTTCGCTCGTCCTCTCACAATCGACTCTCTCGACAGAGACGTTGCCGCGTTCTCATTATTTCTTTTTCTCTTTAATTTTCCCACCTTTTCCGTTCTTTATTCAACCCAACAACCTCTGTCATCCTCTTTTGCAGAAACCGCGTTTTCTCTCTCAAGCTTTTATTTTTCGGTACTTCGCTCAACTGCTCTCACTTCCCGCGGGAAAACTCTCGCTTCTCTCTCCTTCTCTCATGTTTTATTCTCCAGCCATAGCACCACAGCAGCAGCTGAAGCAGACCGTTCATGGCCGACAACAGCGAAGAGAAGCTTCTCGCGGTGGCCCGCCACATTGCCAAGACGCTTGGCCGCACCGAGACCATGACCGATGACATTCTCCAGATTTTCTCTACCTTCGACAACCATCGCTTTTCTCGGGAAAAGCTTTCCGAGAAGATGGACGGCGACGATGATCCCAGGGGCTACGCGGCCCTGGAGCACAGCTTGAAGTCGCTTGACCGTCGGATCTCCCGCTACGTAGCGGCGGACCAGGCGATTTGGGCCGATTCTGCGGATTCTGCGGAGTTCATCGATGCCATCGATGAGTTGCTGTCCACGGTGCGGGATTGGAACCATATGGCTGCGGAGAAGCCGGTTGCCGCGTGTTTGGATCGCGCTGATGATCTTTTACAGCAGGCTATGTTTCGGCTTGAGGACGAGTTTCGGTTGTTGATTGAACGGAGCGCTGAGTCGTTTAATCTGCAGAACCGGTTTTCCGGAGATGGATTGGAAGGCTCTGGGGCTGGGAATGGGAATTTCTCGTCGGATGAGGATGAGGACGAAGATGAGAATGGGGATCGGATTCCTGTGGCGCACCCGGTCACGGATTTTGATATCGTCATAGACGCTCTCCCGCTGGGGACCATCAACGATCTGCACGAGATCGCGAAACGAATGGTTGCGGCCGGCTTTGGGAAGGAGTGTTCTCATGTGTACAGTAGTTGCAGGAGGGATTTCTTGGAGGAGAGCATTTCTAGGTTAGGGTTACAGAAGCTTAGCATCGAAGAGGTTCACAAGATGCCGTGGTCGGAGCTTGAAGACGAGATCGAGCGGTGGACCAAGGCAGTAAATGTGGCACTCCGGATTCTGTTCCCCAGCGAGCAAAGACTCTGTGACCGAGTTTTCTTTGGCCTCTCCGCTGCTTCAGACCTTTCGTTCATGGAGGTCTGTAGGGGCACGGCCATCCAACTCCTAAATTTTGCTGATGCAGTTGCAATTGGTAGTCGAGCGCCCGAGCGCTTGTTCAAGATCCTTGATGTATTTGAAACGCTTAGAGATCTGATGCCAGAATTTGAGGAAGTATTCTCTGATCACTACTGTGCTTTCCTTCGGACTGAAGCGGTTACAATTTGGAAGAGACTTGGGGAAGCAATTAGAGGGATTTTTATGGAATTGGAGAATTTGATCCGGCGGGATCCAGCAAAAGCAGCTGTGCCTGGTGGTGGTCTTCATCCTATCACTCGGTATGTAATGAATTACCTCCGGGCGGCCTGTGGAGCACGTCAGACCCTGGAGCAGGTCTTTGAAGACAACATTCCCTCTGTTGGAGATTATCGGACTTCTGACCCCAATGATCGAGCATCATCATCATCACCTTTAGCAGTGCAAATGGCTTGGATCATGGAGCTCCTAGAGAGCAATTTGGAGGGCAAATCTAGGGTCTACAGAGACTCTGCATTAAGCGCTATTTTCTTGATGAACAACACTAGGTACATTGTTCAAAAGGTTAAAGACAGTGAACTAGGTTCTCTTCTGGGTGAGGATTGGATTCGTAAACACTCGGCGAAGGTCAGGCAATACCACGTGAACTACCAGAGGAACTCATGGGGCAAGGTTATTGCAGTGTTGAAGCTCGACAATAGCTCACTTGCTCCAAGTGCAGCCTCTAAGTTGCTTAAGGAGAAGCTTAAGAGCTTCAATATGCAGTTCGAGGAGATGTGCAAAACTCAATCAACTTGGGTTGTCGTGGATGAGCAGCTCCGGACAGAGATGAGGCTCTCTGCCACAGGAAATGTTCTATCCGCGTATAGGAATTTTCTGGGGAGGTTGCATAATGTTCCGGAAGTAGAGAGGCATACAGAGAAGCATATAAGACACAGTGTCGAGGATATTGAAGCTCGGATTAACGAGTTATTCCAAGGAGGTATTGGATTCACTGGTAGCCGGAAATGAAGTGAGATGGCTCATTATCGTTGTTGTATGTTGAATCTTCTATGTGAATCAAATAGTAGACATTAGTGTCCTTGTATTTATCTGCTGTGTTCTCAGAAAATGTGTAACTCTGCAATTCCATTTGATTCATTTCTATCAAGTGTCAGTTGAGTAGTACAGAATTATGGTTTTTGAATTAATTATAGTCGATGCTTGATACATGAATTATCCTATACAGAACATTGATTATGTTATATAGAGACTGGATATTCTTTTGGAAATTTTGTTGTATAAAAGAAGTTGTAATCTTTTGACTTGTGATGTATCTTTTCTATCTAACATCATTGATGAAGAGTTGTGATTAGAGCGCATAAAGGGGGTACACTCCTAGTGAATAGATCAAAAGTGGTGTTTTGAAAAGATAGGCACCCCTATGAAGCATACATGTAGATTAATAAGGGTACTTGTCTTTTCACAGGGGATGTGCCCTAATCTCCCTACTCCCTTTTGATGAAAAGAACATATTATTTTTTTGAATGTATCTTATTATAGCAGTTTCTATATATGGTTATGGATTTGTTGTTTGGATTGTAATTAGGAAAATACCATGTGTAGAAGGAAGATGAAGAAGGAGCTTTTGTCCAGGTGTGAGTATCATTAGAATGTGTTGATAAATTTCCACTCTCACTGAAATTCTTTGGTCCACCTTGTCCTATTTGTTTGCATTTTGAATATATCTATCTAGTAGATGAAAACTAATCACCAGTTACCATTTCATTGAATGGTTCCTTTCCTAACTTAGATTCTTGAACTGATAAATAATATTCCTCAAGTCTGTTTATCTCTGTTTCTGCTTCAGTATGTTAGTGCTGTTTTTGGTTTCCTAGTGTAAAATTATCAACTATATGAGCACTAGTATTTAGTTATTTACTCATTTCATGGTATCCTTGAACCCAATAACAGTTGACCACATCTTCAACTTGAATAAGTATTCATCAGCTAGTTATATTCTAAAACGACGGACAATGAGCCATTTCTCTTTCATTCACTTGGATGCTCGTTCTATTTATGGAGGGTGGCCATCCACTGCTGGCAGGTGGTAGACTGGAAGCCTCTCGTCCCCTTCCTGAATCCTACTTGAATCTGAATCAAAGAAGAAGATTAGGATCTTTCCTTTTTGCCTTTTCGTCTCTATGATCATGAATTATGTATCATCACTTGGGTAGATTTCTCCGTTCCCAAATCATGTTATGATACTTCTTTTGATTTCCCATATTTCTAGATCCAATTGTTAAAACTCAAAGAAAACAAAGCATGCTTTAGGTGTAAGCATGGACTTGAATTTGACAATAGCCAATGCAATTGGAGTTGTTTTGGTGTTGTAAAGATAGACCATTCTTGGGTGTGAGGTTTTGGATTTTGACCATTGCCAATACGATGGGATAGTGTTCTGGTTTTTCAAGCAAAGAAGGAACTGCAAAACTTCAAACTCAACTGGCTGACTAAATGATTTCAGAAGCCATTTCAACGGTACGCTAGACTTGAGAATGACCAATCTGAATTTAAATGAGGTTTAGATCAACTGACCCTATTATTTATTTGGAACAAAATTTAATCTGGTCCACTGTGAGAATTTTTGATAAAATTATCACAATATGAAGCTTTGTTCATTTAATCATCCTAAACTTTGGTCTTTATAGTAATTTAAGCAGCTGTTTTGTCAAGAAACCTGGCCACTGGAGAGATGATTACATTTCTGAGAACATGTTACTAGAAGAAGATTGAAGTAGGAATACCGCTCTGATTTTTCTTTGGGTTGATTCCTTGGGGCTTGGTCTATTTTACCACCATACTTCTGTGTCGCACCATATGGATCCAACCATAAATTTGCTTATTATTATAATTAGAAAATAAAAAAGAAGTTACTTATTCTAAACAGAGAACAAATTTGTGGATTGGTGTAATAAGGTAGATCCCCCTACAAGGACAATAGTATTAAGTGATTTGAGTGCACGTAATAGATATTGTCTCAAACAATAGATACACGATGGAATGGTGTCATTCTTTTATATATATTTTTTCGAGAAAGGAATAGTGTTAATGAAATATTGGTCAATGGTGGAGTCCTATCATATTGCTTAGAAGTTCGAAACTTGAGAAGTTTAAAAGTCGGCAGCTCACGGCCTCACGTTCCGGCATTTCTTTAGATAAAGAAAGTAAATTCAGTTTTCTCCAGGGGTTCTAGAATTTTTATTTTTCGAACCGAATCGGTAGTATCGGCTTTGGGAAAATCACTAATCGAAACTGAACCGAAACCGATTGGTTAATCATCGGTTTGATTCGTTGGTTTGTCAGTTTTTTTTTTTTTTTTTTTTTAATTTTCATAATATTATATATAATAAATATAAAACATTATATTATAAATAATAAATGATAAATCATATATCATATATTATAAAGGTTTTTTTACAGGAAAAATGACTAAGTTTGGTCATTTGACAAAATCAGGTAGTTTTGAAAAAATACGCAATAAGAGTGAGGGTTTATTTTTCTGGGATCAAATTGCCTTAAACTAAAAGTCTAAAATATTACCCCATGCGACCCAATTTTCTTTCTTGTTCTCATAGCCTGCAAAAGCCAACAAAAAGAAGCTGAATTTCAAATTGAAAGTTTAATTTCTTAATTCCGAAAAAACATTTGGAAGGATGATAACAACATCAAGATTTGAGTAGAGACGATGAAGATGTATTAGTAGAAGGGAAGAATAAAGGTAGGGTGGACGAAGATGTTCAGTCAATATTTCTTGAAATAGTTAGGAACTAGAAGGAAAATTGGGGCTCCTTCAATTCTGAATGGAAACACATTAATAAATGTTTCTCCCATGAGAACTGGTAAAGTGTCATATACTAATTGAATCCCTGAAAATGATGCAACAGATTTACTTTGCGCCTGCTATTTTGGTTGTTAGTAGGGGTGTCAACGGTATTCAAAAATCCGATTTTGAATTTGAGAATTCAACATAATTGAATTGAATTTGGATAATTTGAATATTTAATCAGTCAAATTTGGATATCCCATTCATATAGAATAGCTAATCGGATTCGAATTTAGATGACATAATTTGATTCAATAAATACCTGTGAACTTGAAAAAATAGCGGTCATTCACTTCTTAGCAAAATGTTAGAGTTGCCACCCACCAAAATGGCATAGTAAGGAGTGATGGGCCTCCTAGATAACTGGAATTAAACCAAAAAATGACTCCCAAGCTTTTTCATTACAGATCTAGGTAAGTTGAAAAAGAAAGGGATTAGGCACCCCTCTCTCTGATCAGTGCAAATACTACTTCTATTCCCTGAAATCATATGAGAAGAATGTAGTAGAAGAAGATAATTGTCTTTCACCTACAATAGAAGGGAACTTCTGTAACCAGGCATCTCTTCCTTCCCATTTAACCTTCTTTTAGGTACATGGGCTTGAGCAAAAGGGTGAGACTACATTCTCACCCCTTTTATATTAGACCCCCATAATCTTACTTGGTTGATCAACTGGAAGAGGGAGAGAGCCCTTGAATTTCTTCCTTCGATTGCAAGAAGATGTAGACAATCTCTTGTTTTTAGGAAAACCCCAAAAAATAGTAAAATTAAATGAGTGAAACTACAAAGGAGATGAGGTAGGAATCTTACCTATTGTAGCATTTGAAGGAAGAATGTTGCTATTGGAACCCGGACCCAAAAATGTTGTTTGATTCAATTTAGATGAATATACTGTGAACAAGATAGCAGTGGAGAGTTGGTATTCAATCAAAGGCTTGCTCGAATTTTGATGATGCACAATCTGGACGCTCCCTCGTGTCTTATGATTTGGCTCGAACAGGGGTCCAACTTGGTAGTGCCAAGCTGTACAACCGAGCTGATATTTGTGTGTTCGAGCTATAAAGAGAAAAGAGGTGAGGGTGTCTGGGTAGTTTTTACCCAAGGAGGGCACTCCGATGCTTAAGTCAGTGAGTGTGTAGGAGTAGTCTTTGAGAATATAAGGGAGCTCTAAGAGTATCAGTGTGCATACCTTTCTGGGTGGATCTAGATGTCTTATATAGTCTCCTGGACTTAGGGGGCTTAGGGTAATTGTTTTGAGCTCTTTATGGAGTTGCTTCCCTATTTTCAGGCACATTAAAGTGTTAGTTGCTAGATTTGTGCAACGGTTACAGGTTGCCCGCGGGTCTTGTGGCACACATTCAGCAAGCTACTCCTATGGTCGCAGTAATGGTGCCTATGTGGGCGTAGCGTGTGGAACGGTTTAGGCGAGCTTGCGATGGCGGTGCCCGAGCTCGCCCCATCTCGACCGCCCACCTAATGTCGGGCATTACATGTTGATTTGTCGATCTGCCTTGTAGGTAGGTCTCCAGGTCTCTAGCAGGTCTCTAGAGGTAGGTCTTCAGGTCTCCATCATTTTGGCTAAGGCAGGTCATTGCCTACGTGGTGTCGGGTGTCATCCAGTTGTTTTTGAGATGCCACATGTCATGATGTCAATGGAGGGCCAAATCTACCATCAGCAATTGCTCCCCACTCCCGAGCTGAAGTCAACTCAAAGAAGGGAGTAGCTTGTTGTAGGTCCTTTGGCCCAGAGCGACTAGTTTGTTGAGCTCATAAGTATCGGCCGAGGTTGTCTGGTTAGTGGTTGCAGGTTGCAGTTTGGAGGAATCAGGTTGCCAAGTTGGCAGAAGGACTTTCTGTAGAGCAGGGTGAAGGACCTTCTATAGGGCAGCTCACCCACTATTGCATGGTGAGCTAGTTGTCGTTCTATCCGCTGAGCTACGTTTCTTTCTTTCGGCATTGTGTCGTGTTTTAGGTAATTGAAGATCCGTCTATCCAGCTTGGCTTTGTAGTACATGAAAGATCCTTTGTAGAGCTGCTCGCCTATTATCATGTAGTGAGCTGCTTGTCGTTCTATGAGCCGAGTTACATTTCATTCTTTTGGAAATACGCCTTGTCGAAGGTTGGATCTATCCAACTCGGCTTTGTAGTACATGAAATATCTTCTGTAGAGCTACTCGCCTACTATCATGTAGCGAGTTGCTTGTCGTTTTATGAGCCGAGTTGCATTTCGTTCTTTTTGTCAAGTCAATCGTGCTCACAAGTCTAGAAAGGGCATTAGCCACTGTGTTTTCCGATCTCGGAATTTGTTAGAGATACCAAGAGTCAAAATTGGAGAGGAGTTCTCTCACCTTAGCAGAACCCTTTATATTCCCCATTCACTTGATTTACGACGAGCTGTGAGTCACTGCACAGTACAAGGTGATTGGCTCCTACTTCCTTTG